AATTAGGTGATTATTATACTTTCGCTAGTCTCGATTAGATATCCTTGAGTAATTATTCCATCAGATTGATTTCAGTCGAAGTGCCATAGAATAATAATATCTCTTGACACTTTTCAATAGATACTCCCATTGCAACTTGTTATCATCAAAATTTCTACTCTCAACTTGATTTTTGCTTGTGTAATTAAATACACAATTCCTTTCACAGATACCACATAAAATCAGAAAAAACTGCCCGTATGCATACCAATAGATGTATTTTCTAGTTATTTCCTTTTCTACTCTATTAGAAACCTCATACAAACTAGATGGTATTCGAGTTTTACTCGTATACGAAATGCGGTACGAAGCACGAGTCGAGTACACGAAAAAATAAAAAATTTAACGGAAAAGGAACAAGCAATCTTAAAATGAATTAGATATCGTTTTGATCTGATTAGTTTCATATTCGCTTCGAATATACACCTTTTCCTGTCTCCAGCAGATGTAATCAAAAGTAAAAAATCATTACATGTTTTTTTAGTTCTGAAGTAATCATAATAGAATTGATTGCTGAGAAAACGGTTTTTTCGTGATTATCACCATAATCTTAGAGAATGCTTTTGATTGAACATTAAATTAGCTCAATGATTCACTAACTTAGATCCGATGCGAAGAAATAGACTATTGGCTACTATGGCTTGATGACATCATTTTTAGTATCTCGAAACTCTAACGATGAAAACAATATAAAATCATCATTTTTGAAGGATATTTTTAGGCGAACGAAACTTAGTATTGAAAATTTGAAAATAGATGTAACAAGTTCGATCTTGCAACTTTCATATCTAGTTTGAATGGATTTTCTATCATTTACGCTTCTCTAGATCATCGCGTCACTTAATAAGAACTTTTTATGCGTATTCAAGTTTGAAAGAAAGAAAACAAAACTCGCAACGGACTACATGAATGCTGTGCTTCGCACCACATTAAAAGCAAAAAGAACAATTCAACTATCCTAACTACTTAACATCCTACACGTCCTACTCCTGCTATATCACCTATATTTATGTATAAAAGTACAATTATATTCTAAACCATCAGTTGCACACATCGTACATGCATTATATAACTGAAATAACTTTCCACTCTTACAATCTCATATGGGAAACAATAAAATGACACAACTGTCATTATCGTACTTTTCCCCCTCATTCGCCTGTTCAGCATTCTATTGTTAATAAATTCTCGTTACTGTTATGTCACTGACAATTTCCTCGTTCGATAAAATGTGTGAAATGTCTTCATTCTATCGCACATTCATACGATGATTATCTATTCTTTCTAACACAACAATTTGTTCATGATTCTCAGCTATCATTAATCTTACATCATTACGTCAATTTGGATTCAGGACAAACCGTTTTCCTCAAGCTTTCATACTGTTAGTATTAGGGTATCAGAGAAGCGAGTTTGTTGGTGTTGACCCTCTTTTAATCTCTGTTGCGTGTAGGCGTACCGATATGCACTTCGACTTGAATCACTTTGAATCGTTTATTTGAATAGGAGATTATGATTTATGGCGTATTTAAAACGCGAAAAGCCATAGCGGCGAATGTGTCAAAGTCGTTAAGCATCAAGTAAATTTGAAAGAAGCGCATGAACGCGTGCCGAACAACATGAATGATCAAAAAACAACAGAAAATAGGTAGGAAGGAATGAAGATGGGCTAGATCAAAAAGATATTTGTATCGAAATGATCGACATGCAAACGATGAATGATTTCAAACTAAATATTGAAGCATCATCGGTTTGAAAAGATGAATAGGATTACTTTAATTGATCTATGGCTGTGCATAGTTAATGTAAGTGCTCAACACGAATATGTTATCGACAGGCTAACAACTTTTCAATCTTAAACTTTCCAGTAAAGTTTACTGAAAATGTTCTCAGATTCACATAATGCCAAATAGAAGATACAAGAGTCACATGTTCACTACAGAAATGATCTTCTATTTTCCAACAGCGGAACTAAATTAAAGAAAGTTTTGTTCATGCTCATGGTCACCTCACTATGTAAACCAACTAATCAAACTAATAATAATAATGATAAAAAATGAACGAACGCACCGATTTGGAACAGTAGATTGTATCCAAAAAGAAACGTTCCCAGTGCCCTACCAAAAAACATACATCACATGAAAACAGCTGATCGATGGTGTAAGTAGCTCGAAGGAAGAGAACGAAACAAATGCGACTACCATTGGTCAGAATGCTCTATCTACTCTCTCTTCCTCTTCCTATTCCTCTTCCTCTTTCCTCCCTATAAATAGACCACGTCAAATCAATGTCGCATCATTCATACATTCGTTTATCGCACCAAAATGAATACAGACTCAATCTGCCTTGCTGCTGATGACTACATTCGAGCTGCCTCCGATCCACAACTTTCGTCGTCTGACAGCCACCTTCTAACTACTCTACTCTCGGAAGAAGACCAACACGAGTACAATCAACTTCTCCAAATTCAACTCGCCCCTGATGCACTAAATATCGTGAATCAAGTAAGATCACTATTCACCCTTCAAACGCGTCGTGATATAACGAATGAATTTCTTGTTTAGTTGAACTCACTCTTTCATATTTCATCATCTGCTATTTGGATGTCAATGGTATTGTTGAAGAAGCTGCCCATCGAATCAAATTCTTTTAATTTATTAGCAATCATCGCGTGTGTTACACTTTCATGTAAATATCAGGATTCGCCGTCACCAGCTGTTGATTATGAACTTATTGCTCAATGTTATTCTATTGACGACGTTCAACTAATTCAGGTAAGTCTTTCCTCCGCTCACTTGGCATTTAACTAAATTCAGTTTTTAATTATAGAATGCTGAGATTGAACTTCTCGAATATTTCGAATACGATATTTGTGTCACAACACCCGATCATTTCTTTTCTTATTTAATCAATCTCACGACTGATGATGTGAAGTCGAACCAAATCATTGAACAAGCTCGATCTTTGTTTTTCACGAATTTTCTTTCAAACGAAAGAGCAGGTAAATGAAAGATAAAACACTTGTTCATCTTAACACAATGATTGTCTTGTTTTTAGATCTTTTCTATAATTATCCATCGAGTATTGTGACTCTTTCTTTCATCTACAATATCGCCTCAAATAAAACTTTCATCGTGGAACAAATGAAAAGTTTTCTTGTTCATAAAAAGGATCCATCGCATTACTTTGTAAGTAAATAGATATCAGTTTCATGTTTGTTATTGATTCTCGTTTCATCTTTAGAAGCAACTATTACTTTGCACAGACCTACTTCAAAGTTGTAACATCATAAATGGATGACCTCATCGGTTCCTTTCTCTTCTCGTCTGACATACCGACATGAACACTTGTACAATTGTGAAACAGTGATATATCAACTCATTCATCGTCATATCCTATTGCGTCGCCGGTGTCGGCACTACTCACGTCAGAACACGGCATCATAGAGCATTTTATAATGTTTATAGAAAGACTTTTCTTCTTTTGAAGTATTTTGTTTTTATTTTTTGGATTTTGATATTTATTTTGCTGTTGTACATATTATCTTGTAATGAGATAAGAATAGAAGTCTGAATAGCGAACTGAAAAGTGATCTTTGCTCATGCTGTGAAAGAAACGGAGACAAGATTTGTCATACATAGACGATGTTCGATGCAGGTGACAATCATTCTATTGTGAATATAATAGAAACGAGACGAAACGAAATGAAGAGAAAAGAATTATCTAATCAGTTGCTTGACTAATCTTTCTGCGTTGGCGAAAGAAGTGAAAATATCGGTGATTATTCTCCTCAAGGCATGATGTGGATGTCCTCATTTTTCGTTCGTATTTGTCGGCAGGACAAATAGGTTTGAAACAACTTTTGAAGTTAGATATCTATTTCAACGTCAAAATACGAGGTATATCGTTATATTATGCCCATTGTTTATCCTGAGGAAATGCTTTTGAATAAGTTATGTGCTTAAGCGAATGTTGTGAAATGGTGAAGATTTATAGTTGAACTGTAATGGATGTTTATAGACGCATATCTCCAGTATGGAATTAATTTGCACAGGTTTATTTTTATGGAGGAAACAAGTGGATCATCAAGAATATTCAATAAACACTATTATCATTGAGCTATTCAAACCATGGATAATCACCTCCATGTAAATATAAATACAAGTGGCTAATTGAACACTTATGCGGTGAGTTAATATGAAGGTGAGAGAAGGAGACGACGATGTTTCGCACAATTATTATGTAGTAGACGGAAAACTAGTCAATCGAAAATAATGACTATTGGAGACAGATAGTGCAACACGTTCATATTCTGAATTACACATCATGGTTAATAATGAGGGTGTGTGTGACTTTTTCTCCAACAGCTGCCTGATTCGTTCAGCTGGTTTGTTCATCACTACATATTGTTGTATCGTGTATGGGAGTGGATGGTACTGATAAAAATTTAGATTGGAATGGTAAGATCATTGAAAATTTGTCCTGTTTTTTATCAATTCGTAGAGAATTATATCGATAATGTAAAAAAGAGAACATATGTTTGTGTAAAGAATTATGTGAGAGGCACCCTACTTGGTTGATTTCATGTTTTACAATAAGATCAAACGTTCTTTCATGGAAATAGTAAGTGTCACTTATGAAATGTGTTGCTGCATTGTACATCTGCGTGACGCGGAGAGACATATCCATTGTATGATTTGCCTTTTGATTGTAATAGATACGTATAGATTTTTTTGAATGATGTTACCAGTATATTGACAACAGAACAAAATTAAACGAAAACTCGGCATGATTCGATACATTTATGTATGTATTTACGTGTTTAGTAGGAAGGTTGATCGAACGACACATTCGTATTATTATTTTTTTCACTGGTCGTTTCCGTTTGGTGTAATTACATAGACTAATATGGAGTATCATTCTTGAGGTAAAGTCTACCATCAATGATATTTATCATTTCAATAGAATAAACTCCCGGAAATATCACGACACACCTGACATCTTTTATCGTGAACTTGCAAAAAGCATATAAAAGCATTTTTCTCAAAGAAAGTTCGCATTGAATCCAAAAGTTTGCAGATAGTAAGAGAAATAAATAGTAATTCATATGACATAGATAGACGATGAAAATGTATATAATCAAAACGTATCAGTCTGCTTATGATAGATCGTTCAATGCGATTAACACATGATCGCCTAATAATACTTTGAAATAAAGCTTTCACAGTAATATTATGGGTTTTTTTTATGAACAAGAAAACTTTGCATTTGTTCCATAATGAAAATATTATTTCATGTAATATTATAGATGAAAGAAAGAGTCATAATACTCGATGGATAATTATAGAAAAGATCTAAAAGCAAGACAATCATTGTGTTAAGATGAGCAAATGTTTTCTTTCTTTTGAAAGTTAATATCTTGAAAAACAAAGAATAATCTTCTCCATTGAGATCCGAATAGCAGAGGCTGAAATAAGAACAAGTCAGCTCAGCTAAAAAAAAGAAATAGTTGTTATTAACAGAATTTTAGAGATGTATAGAAATCATATTTGTTTCACGATTTGTAAAATATCAGGGCAAAGTTGAATATCAAGAATTTATTTGTAATCATGTTGATCTTCTTCTATTTCATTTCGTCTCTGATAGCATGCATCTTTTAAAATCCCTAATCGGCTATGCAGTTCTTAATGTAACGACACATTGTATCGATATTGAAATAGCGTATGGATTGTTTTTATTAGGAATGAACATAAACATATTTTTTGCTGAAACTATCATCGTTTCAATTCAGAATTCGTTCCGCTTTATTGACTATTGCTTTCAAAAGAAAACATGTCGCACATTTGTTGCGTGCATTGCAATGGTTCTGTCAATGGATGATACGCACTATGCGATCATCAAAGCATTACCTTGACATTGATCTGACATGATACTATTCGTCATACATGTTTTTTTGTTGTTGAAAATGAAATGCGTGCTGCACAACCGATCATCATGATATATTGCATCTGTGCTGCTTTGAATATCATGTTCATCTCTTTCAAATGAATCAAATAAGTTAAAAGAAATCATCATTCATTTTTTTTATTTGATCATATTGAACAATCTTTTGTAAAGTAAAAAAAATCATACTCCATAAGACAATTTATTCTAAATTCTAAACTTAAAATGAAAATTTCTCAGGGTGAATGGAGTTCAGAAAAAAAGAGACATCTTCTTTTTTAACAATGCTCGTTGGCTGTTGTAATGAAAAAAGTAACACAATAGACAAAGAAGAAGAATCAGATCCCTGTAGAAATTTTCTTTAACCAGACATTTAAGCTCTAATTAAATCATATATTGATTTGATGGCACAGCCCATCATTGTAAACAATCCAAAATAACCAAATGAACCATAACGACGTTTTTCAGCATGACCTGTTGCGTAACCCTGATGAAAGCAAATAAAATTTAGAAATTGATCAAAGAAAAATATCTCTAACGTACTCGAAAAAAGACTATTCGTCCAACTAACCAAATAACACCACCAACTGATGAAATAAGTGGATATCTAATTGAACCCAAACCTAACATTAGAAGAAATTCTGGATAGACTTCTAGTGTATGTTGATGACCACGTTGAATGCCTAAATAAAGTTTAAAAATAAATTTTTCGACACTATATGAATGTAGAAACTTACAATTAAATGTTTTGCTTTCTTGGTCTGATTCGGCAGCGTACAGTTTTGGATATTCGATGTTATATCTAAATAGAATTGTAAATGAAAATAATTTAGAAGGATATTAATAAAGAAAAGATTCTTTTATTAAATGAGAATATATGTATGAGAACATGAATCATCATGATTTTTAATTGAGCAGTTTGAAGTTTCAATAAACTCATGAGTAAGTTAGATTGGTAGATTTTTGTTTTGTTTAGATTTAACATAGATACTCATATTAATACTATTATTTCTACATTATCAGTAAATCAAACTACATCAAAATAGCATCAAGTATTAACATTGATTTTCTACCATGCATACAATTACAAATATCGATCGATTTAAATATGTATAAAAGCTATTCTACCGTTCACCATATAAAAAAGAACTTTTAAAATACTATTATCATCTTTCTTTTTTTGTGTCTAATATATTATAATCGTACTCGGTTGTTCTTGCTATGATTTCTAAGTACTGCAACAATCACTTCTTGACTTGTCAGTAGAGGCCGCTAAATCAGAAAAGTGTAGAGTGTGCGGCCGTCTTATAATTATTGAAAATTATTCATTTGTATTGAATTAAACTAGAAAAATTGTCCAAACTTTGTATTGTCTCTTGAAGAAATTTTCTTATAATCTCATTCTACGATAATGAGATAGTCGCATGACTTCTGCTGATTGAAAATAATCCTATGCTATCAATAATACTAATTTATAATTACATATGACTAATGCTGATACTATTTGTTTTTTCCACATAACAACTCTCTTCGATCTATAACTGAATATCAGAATACAAATTCGAGTAAGAAAGACGACGCTCACGAGAAACAAATTGGTGTCGATCCATATTGGTACAAATTTACCTTTTACGAGCTTTCATTACATTCACTCCCATATATTGTAAGACAAACCATGATGATACTGCTACACCAGCTGCAAGTCCATGTTCTCGCGATAGAGTAAAAGTGATAAATTTTGGCGTATTAATACTAAGATTCATTTTTCGATTTTACAGTGTATAAACAAAAAAGAAATCTGAAAAGAAATAAACTGAGAAAAATAATTCCTTGTTTATTGCTATTATTATTATTAATATTATTATTATTATTATTCTCCATCGTCTTCTTTTTCTTCTCAACAATCTTTTTCCACATGCTAACGATGATATAATGAAGAACGAGTGCAAAAAATAGAAATGCATCTTCGATAAGTACATAGAAATCAAGGGAAACCCATGCACATTTATAGTATAACGACGACGACGACGACGACGACGACGACGACGACGACAACAATGGCTAATAGAGAATATGAGGGGAAAAAAGAAAAAATAAGTGTCGAAGAGGGGCGAAGGACGCATAGGAATGGAAATTTTGTACCATACTGAATCATCTTTGTATGATAAGACATTTCGGAATAAGTAAATTTATTTTCACAAGAAGATGAATACAAAGAAAAAAAATGGAAAGATATATGTGTGTTTAGAAAAAAAAACATATTTAAAACTCCTGACCCCAGAGAGAACGCAAAATACGAGCTTCAGTACTTTTAAGTTGTGGTCCAAATAATGGCTTCCATTGATGAAGATAGAAGCATAACCAACTAGAATAAAAGAACAATACAAGTTGCAGTTTCTTTCGTATACACGAAATAAAAAAAAATCAATTAACATACAATAGCCAACAGCAAGCCGATGTTAATATTAGCATAATTTGAATAAGACTAAAAAGAAATTTCATTTGAAAAATTAATACAATGCTATAATAAAAATTTTACCGTTTATTTGGTCCTTTCGGAATTAAAAATGGTAAAACAATACCAATTAAACCCCAAAAGAGAGTAAATATAATAAGAGCAACACCGAACTTTTCCATTATTATTATTATTCAGAAATAAAATTAATCTAGAGGATGATTTAAAACTAGTAAAATGCACACAGATGAATAAAATCATTTGTATAGACAGGATATATATTATATTTAAAAATAAGGAAAACTGTATGTTGAAACAGGATTTCAATGTGTAGAAAAAAAAATGAAAGGTAATAAATGACAATAAGACTAGAAATTATTATGCAATAGGAATGAATCAATATTTGGTTATTTTGTGTTGTTGCTGCAGTCTTGTATCTCACGTATTCGACAGTTCGGAATGCTAGACTACTTAAAATCTTACAAAAATAAAATAAAATTGCGCCTTCGAATAAATACTAAAGTAAACGGCATCAACACATATTTAAATCACAAAAAAAGTACACAAATTAATTGACTAGAGTTCTCAAATAAATATACCTTTGGCCATTCTCTTGAAAAGGAAAAAGACTAATTTCTACAACGACAAACAAAAAAAAGACAGAGGTGACATCAATTTATATGCACAGCTAATAACATCATCATAAAATAAATATCGAATAAAGAAAAATGGTCCTTATTACACGAAACAAACAACACTGATAAAGGTAACAGATAAGAAGAGAGAGCGAGAGAGACAGACGGACAGACAAAAGAAACATTGTGTATATGTTTATTGGAAATGTATAGATGTTCATTAGAATGAAAATATTTATTATTCAAATCATTCCAGCGACTTCTTCTAATTGACTAATAAAACGGCCAACACGTGATTTATCCTCTGCTTGTCGAGCAACTTCAATAAGGTCAAGTAATGCTTTGATGCCAATGCATACTCTGAACATAAGAAGAAAAAAAAATCTTCAATATTATAAATAAAAAATTTGAAATTTTTACTTTTTGTCATGTAGTTTTTTTTCTAGATATCGCATCTCGTCATTATTAAAACAATGATCCATTTCATTTAATACATGAAGAATATGTTGACCACTGCTCATATTTGCTATATGTATAACTTTTGAAAAGGAGGCTAATAAACCGAGTTGATCAAGTATATCTCGATATGCTGTTGTAGCTATAATAAATAATTTTCGACCTTTTGGTGGTGGACGTTTAAATAACAATTTTAATGTTTGTAAAACATTATTTGAATAACGTGGACCGACAGGTGCATATTCAAGTAAAGTTTCTAATTCATCAACAACGACACCTACGAAAGAAAACATTTATTTAATGGTCGAAATTTATTTTCGTTTAATTTACATGATAAAGTTGATTTATGTGCATCTTCAAAAATTTTCTTTAATTGTTGACATTTGGCTAATTCAGAAAAGCCAAGCATAGTTTGTGCTGTACAAAATTTTAAATATGGAAATTTCGATAGAAGCGCAGTATGAGCAGCTAATGCTGTTTTGCCACTATTTGGTGGACCTAACATAAAAAAAATATAGATTGAATTTATGTTTAGCTTTTCATCGATAATTGAGTTGCGCCATCAAGAAAAATAGTAATATGACTTTTTAGAACAAAGATCAAATTATGAACAATTTGATGTTTATAAATATATAGGAATTGTATTATGATAAAATTAACAATCATCGTCATATGATCGTGTACTTAATGCCCTTGATATGCTCTTAAAAGATTGCTAACGTAAGTAACCACAGGCAAATCTGTTCTTATTTATTATCACTTATGATTATTGTAAACAGTAGAAATTGGTGCTAGGATTTAGTTTATATATGTATACAAAACAAATGGTATGATTTGTTCGGCTTTATGAAACTTTACATAGTAGTAAATTTTACAAGAAACTTTAATTGTACCGAAATTTTCATTTAATCTACTACTTGTGCTTGGGTTCTTGAAGGGTTTTTTTTAACACTGAAAAATTCAAAAGAATCAGAAAATTTTTGCAACTTATTAAATATTTCATCATCACCATCGTGGAATGTGCTCTAAATAAATCGAAAATAAATTGAATTTTCGACATAGTATTGTAAAGACAGTACGTTTCTATTGTATATTTTCATTAGAATGATGTACATCTCGCTTAGGAGCACTAATCGATAGAATTTCTTGTAAAATGAAATCGCAATCATTCTATTAAAGAATTTTGTAAAAGAAAAGTATCTTCATTGCAACAAATAAAAAATTCGAACTGTTTTTATGGTACACATAGTTGATTAGAATCTAGATGTTTGACATTGGTTTTTGACTCAAAAGAGGTTAATTAGGCAATCTACTACTCTTAGTACGGAAATTTGTCTTGATAGATTTCCCATAATACCACTCCTGTTTCTTTCGAATTCTAAATATACCTTCAATTAAAATCGACACGAGTGGTGTCATTTCACTTTTAATGGTCTGCCGTATACGTAATTCTCCTTCTTCGAGAACATCTGTTACTGATTGTCCCCAAATAATGATACCATTTGATATATATGAATCAAACTCTTCTTTGCTAACGCCAAATGCCTTAAAGAAGAAACAAGAAATATACAGATGAGGAAAGAAAGTAACTTTTCTTTGTCATACCGGTTTAATATCATTTTCGAAGGCATGCATAAAATCTGCTCGACAAACTTGTAATTTATCTGCTGCTTCTGGATCGATTTCTACACGTTTACCAGCCTATTAAAATAAGAGCATCGTAGTTTTTAAAATTTTCTTCTAGAAAAATTTACTTTAATATGTCTATTCATTGCAAATGACATTGCAGCTCGAACTAAACCTTCTAGCTCTGCTCCACTAAAATTTCTTGTTATTTCACTGAATTCTTTTAAATCAACATCTGCATTTAATTTATTATGCTCACGCAAACGAGCTGTATGTATATTTAATATTTGTGATCGACCATTTTCATCTGGTAAACCAATTTCAATTTGTACTTCAAGTCGACCAGGTCTTAAAAGTGCTTCATCAATCATATCACGACGATTTGTCATGCCAATAATAAGTATATTATTTAGTTGATCAACACCATCTATTTTCGATAATAATTGATTAACAACGGTATCATGTACACCGGCACCACTCGCCTATAGGAACAATATAGTTTTATTTAAAAGTAAATGAAAGTTTTCTTTGTACAAACCACTGAACCACGAGATTTACAAATAGCATCGATTTCATCGAAGATAATTATATGTAAACCACTATTGGGACCAAGCTAGAAAATAATTATCTTATTAAATATACATACAACATGTTCTAAACAGTTGAATATTTTCTACATCCATCAAATTGTAAAAGAATTTTAAAAAAAGAAATCGGAAAAAATAAGATAATTTGCTGACTGAAGTATTAATTTATGGTGATCATAAATATGTTTACAAATTATTTCCGATAGAGATAATTATCAAGTAAGGTCCGAAACACTCAAGCAGTCGATTGATTTTAAAATTTAATAAAACACTTTCTATCTGCTATTTTGTTTTTATATGATTATCTTACTCGTTTTTCTTCTTCTTCAGCATCAGCAAATAATTTTCGAATGTTTGCTTCTGATTCTCCAACATATTTATCAAGAATTTGTGGCCCATTAACAATTTTTGGTTCTCGAGCATTCAACATTTTACCAATTTGCCTAAAAGAATTAATTGTGAAAAATTTTGAATAGAAAAGTAATTAACTGTTAGTACATCTCGTTCAGAGTTAAAATGTGAAGGACAATTTAGTTTTGTGTTATTATAAAAGGCAGATTAGATCAATAATCAATATATTCTGGTTAATTAACTGTTACCTATCATCAATGTATATCGACGATGAAGGATATTAATGACTAGACTTTGTAATGGCTGTGAAAGAAATTTTTTCAGGATAATTATCGTAGTAATCTCACAGTTATTTCTATCGTTTTTGTTTTAGATGAGTGATATTAGTTGCAATTTTCATTCTAAACTTCAATACTTCGTTTTTTTTCTTATAGTGCTTCAAAAAACAAAAAAGGATTATTCATACCGAGCCATCAACGTTTTTCCTGTACCCGGTGGACCATATAATAAAATTCCACGACAATGTTTCATCCCTATTCAAAAATAGAGAAAGAAAAAAATATTTATTAATATTTTGATATAATAGATCAAATTAACTAACCTAATTGATAGACTATTTCAGGTGGAAAAACACGTGATGCAAAAGCGCGACGAAATATTGCATTGAATTCTGTATCAAGACCACCAATACCCATTGTTTTAAAATCAAAATCTGGATTTATTATTGAAACAAATTGAGATTTTCTATTTATTTTAAACACATCAATAAAGCTTAATTAATAATTTATTTCATTTACCCTTTTGATTTTCCTGCTAAGTTTATTGAGGAACCTTCAGCTCGTTCAAATACAACCATTGTATTTGCAAGTGAAACTCCCAATGAAATTTTTCGAGCTTTCGAATTTTGACCTCGAGCAAGAGCAGCCAAATCAACAGCTATTAGTTAGAAGAAGAAAAAAACAAAAAATTCTATCAATGATCTTTTTTAATTTTATACATTCGATTTCTTTAACAGCTATTATTAAAGTTTTTTTATCCAGAAATTGAAATGGTAACTAAATGAAAAAAATCGTTGTTTTTGGTCAATATTTCATGATTTTTCTTTTTACATACACATTGTCCTACGGAAAATGCATGATCAATATATTGTTGTAAGAATTCATTTGCCATTTTATCGGAATCATATGGATCTGCTGTTGTACTTAAAAAGAAAAGAAGAGGAAAAGATTTTTTAAAAAAGACAATATTTTTGATTCTTTTCTTACTTCTTTTTGTTCAAAAAATCTACTTCGAGTATAAGTGTTGCAATGGATTGAATATTCTTATCAAATACATATGGCCGAATTTGATACGGTCGATCCAATTCAATACCGGCCCATCGACGCTAAATGCGATCAGAAGAAAAAAGAAATAATATTTATTCTAGTAGAAGTAGTTTTTGTAAAAGTCTTACTTGTAATGTGTTAAAACCAATTTTACCCTGTGACATAGATCCATATTTAATGATTGTAAAAATAAATTTTGTATTTGTAATACTGGATGATAATTCAATATGTCTAGAAGAAGAAGAAGAAAACTATATCTTCCAAAGAACAACTAAAAGAAAATCTAAACACTTACCGAACATGTTTTGGATCAATATCCTTTTCATTAATCACAGCGCTATTCGTAAACGAAAGTTCATCGGTGGGACACTTCGTAGCTACTAATTGCATTAGCGCGGAAGACATTGATCTAAAATAAGAGTAATCAGTTACTGTATGATACTGTTTATTTACGTTGTTGTAGTAGTAGTAATAGTAGTGTCATGCTAGAAGTAATTTATAACAAATGAAAAATGTGAATAAAAAAATAGAATAAAATAATTCTAGTGTTTTTTTTTCTCATTCATATGACAAAAAAATATATGAATAGTAGTTTATTTATAAGCAGATTATTATCTGGAGAAAAAGCTTGTAGTCTATGATAGTCTGGCTGTTTTACAGTGTCGTTACTTGTTTGAGACGAATAAACTCTGGCAAAGTAGAAGAGAAGAAGAAGAAGAAAAAAATAACGACAGTGTTCATGATCACGTCTCGGCAGAGAAAGACTGTGACAAAAGTCGACGACAGGGAAGAACATTAGAAGAGCGGGAGGAAAAAAAAGGAAAACCAATGCAACATTTCCATTCTTACAGCGCATCAAAAGTCCTTAATAGTCTCTTTTTTACTTGTGTTTTAGCTATTTTTCTTTCTTTGATAGGATGCATTCGACTGTTTCTAATATGTTAACAAACGTGCGTTGATCACAGTAACATGAAATAATAAAATAATGTTAATGTTTTATCACTCAAATATTTTTCTATGAATGAGATAAAGACGGCAGTGCTCATGATGAAAAGTTGAAAACAATAGAAAACTACCAATTATCACAAGTATTTATATGCAATATTGTCATCTTATGATTGAACTAAGTATACTTTTCTAATAGTATATATTGCTAACAAAACAGTCATGTGAAGGAATATTCTTTTCGTCTATGTTGATCCTCTGATTCATCTATGAATAATCATGTATTCAGTTTTTCTTTTATGCTTAGCAAAATAAAATTATCCTTTTATCAGTAAATTTTCTGGGTAGATTAATATTTGACGAATATCGACTGTCCCTTATCATATTGAATAAGTTGAATAAATATCCTTTGAAAAATTCATAGTGAAACCTGGAAATAGAGAAATAGAAAATTATTGATTGGTTTTCTTTGTTATGTTCTAGAAATGGTTCGAACGATCGATTCCGTAGGCAAAAGTTTTTTCCTAATAGAAATAAATGTTTATTAGTCAGCTAAGTGATCAACTTTGCTTTTTTTGTAAAGACTACGCTTCCTGTCATTTAGTCGTTTTACCGGAAGCTTGTTTCGCTATTTTGCTATTCTTATTGTACATAATTTCCCCCTTAAAAATAGATTCTTTTCTTTTTGTTTTGTTTTTCTTTTTGACATATATTCTCAAGCAAGAAGAAAATAAATTAATTTTTCATTGGGCCGACTTCCAAAAAGAAACTTTTCCAGATGACAACTACTATTCTAAATTATTAATCTATTGAAAAGTATTCACAGAGGTTTATTTTGTGTTTTTGTGTGCATGTTACTGAAATAAATATCGAGATAAATATTACACAAAACAAAATAGGACGATTGAATGGAATGAAAAAAGATGGTTTACTTCAATATGGAGACTCTTTTTAAGAGAAGTAAATTATATATATATTTTTGCTATAAAAGTTTATTACAATTTTTCAAATGCTCATCTACGAAGTACTTAGAAGTAAATTTAAAATAGAAAAATTCCATTAGAATACATGCCATAGTTAGCTATTTGTATTCAACTATCTCGAAAGTCTATTGAATTCAAAACGAAATACAAGAAAACGATTGGAATCTACAGTAAAAAGTTCATAAAGTCTCGAAGAAATAAGAAAAATATGAATTGATTAGTGATTAAATTAAGAAATATTTCATCAAGAATAATTCTTAAATTTAATTTTCTACTAGACTATAAGAAATCGTTTAATTCGATTACTACTAAACGGGTAGCTATGACCGAAAAGATTTCTTTTTTTTTCTTCGATGGCTATATCTTATCAACTGCAATCAATATTTAAGGGACTTTTAAGATAGACATGAAGCATTATTTAGATTCTCGTGAATATAACATGTATATTTGTCGACTATTAGCAACAATTAAATTAACACGCTTGTCAATGTCACTTCTTGGGTGTCAATCAATCTGTAGACATTTCTCAAATATAAGAAAAGAAATACTAATTTCATTTGTAGAGTCAAAGTACTAAATGATGAACTACTACGCTGTTAGTTCTTAAGAGTATTCATTTTAGCTAATACACGAAATTTCGCCTCAACTATACTCTATTTTTGATTGACTGAATAAATAACTATTTCTGAAAATTTTTGTTATTATCTTTAAAGAATTCGTTCTTAAAAAACAAATAAGTTTTCTTAGACAAAAAGAAAAAAGATTCAATTCTATGTTAAAGCAAAATAACTATAAAGCTAATGAGTTCTATGGGTGAATATGAAATAAGTAACGAGAAAACTATCAAGGCAATGTCAATGGATTCCTGCAAGAACTTTTAAATTGCATGTTAATTAAAGTTTTTTGATTTTTTTCTGCGTTCCTCAATCAATAGCATATATCATGCATGGGAAAAGTATTTAAGCTATAATTCTCCATAATCATTTTTGTTTATTATTTCATAAATGTCTTATTATTGAAAACAATCATTATCTTTTAACATACGTATGTATCGCGTCTGAATAATTTAATTTTTTTCTATCTTAGTATCGTCTATTTTGTAATAAATAATGATTTAGTTTATTAATTTTTTTCCATTCATATAACCTCCTTTTAGAAGAACTATGTTAGTGATCAGATACAGTTTTATTGACTGTTCCATATCATCTTCATGTGTTCGCCTTGCATTTTATTACTAGTCAATTTTAAGCTTTTTCTCTCAAGAATAATTTTGAACCAATAACAGTTGCATTGCATGAAGTTCTCAGAAGAATATTTTAGAACTGTTGCGAAGAAACTTTAACAAAATATCTAATAGAATAATAGAATACTTTCATAAGATGATCCTCATCAAAGAAGAAGCTCATGTAACTAATTTCCTTACCGAAAATGTTCTTTCATATATTCCACACTCATAGTATTTTCTTGATTTGAAAATGAATGTTAAGCCTCGCAGTGTGATAGAATCTATTTTTGTGCAACTCTTTATGTTAAAAAACAAAGACTACGAGTGAAAAACTTCAGTCCTGTGAGAATCTATCTAAATATGAACAAATATATGGCATATTTTTGAGATATTCGATTTGCCTTTCTCAACGTCCAATGAAAACTAGTAACTGTCAAATAAGAGGAATCTCTCAGGCTTTGCCGTTTGAAATGTTCTTGTAAATAACAAAAAAATCCAATATAATAAATATACTCTTATGGAGCTATTTAACGTTACTTTTTTTTATGAATGATTAAATATTCCGTCTAAGAATAAAAATAAAAATAAAATTATTTTCTCAGCTTTCACCGAACACAACAGTATCAATAAAGCTACACATTTCTATTCAATACGATGAATCACTGTTGATGCTTTCAAGTTTTTAAAGGAAGAAAAAAAGACATCGAGAATATTTGTATTTTCTTTCATATTCTTCTGAAATATTGTAACAAAAATCATATTAACATTGAAATATTTATAATGTCTTCGAACAAAATGTTTTGAAAATAATTTATTATTCTTACAGTGAATACTAAATACTCCAGAAATGTTTAAGAAACAAAATATTCTCGAGTGTTTATTTTCGTCTTATAAAAGAAAAATTCTCATTCTTGAGTTTACACAGTAGAAAAATTATAAAAACAATAGTTATGATAGATCTAATCGAAACACATTCGTGACTCGTGAAATATGAATCGAAATTATGTGTTAGTAATATTCATTTGAAACGATTTGAATTCTCTCAGAATGAATATTTTAGAGTTTAATTTCCCTCGAGGATTACAAGTATTAAATCTTGTACTTTCTAAATCATAAATAATCCAACTAGAATTGAATTCTATTATTAGACTATACATAATTCGGAAAATCAGTTCCCAATTTCATCAATACGATTTCATATGCAGAACAATATCAAATTACAACACTTAAATGCGTACCAATTGGTTCAGTCGAACGATTCTTGTATTATCATTTCAATCTAAAACACATCATATGTAATTCTCATATAAAAAAAAGTGCCCAAACTTAGTAGTTAGTAATAAAAAAAAATCACAATCTTTTTTAGCTTTTTTCCCGTTAATTTCTGTTTTCTTTTTCCTAAATATTATATTTGTTATCATTGTACAGAATGTATTTGTGCGCATATAATATAAATGAGTCAATATTTGGTGTAGTCAATATCACTAGCAAGCACAAAAGACCATGGAAAAAGAAGAACGCGCTGCTAGAAAAAAACAAAAACAAAAAAAAACAAAACCGGAAGAAAAAAACCGACAAATGCATTTGGTGAGATTTTATATGATGGTAGATTTTATACAAAAATATGTGTAAATGTACTTTTATCCTCGAGCGCGACTATTCAGCATGAGGAGTTTTCTACTGTTCTCGCGATTCATTCGTGCGCGATTCCTTATTGATGAGAAAAAAGATCAAGAAAGAGAAAAGAACTAAGCATGTTTTTGCGTTGAATAGATACAAAAAAAACGAAGCACAAGCTCGCATTGAATAACAGGCAGGAGAAAAGAAGGTACACACACAAACAAACGGTTAATTATAGAAAAAAAAATTAATGTTGTATATATGCCACGTATATGCAAAAAGCAAAGTGCCGGAGAGACAGATATTTGTATCAGTAAATATAAAAATAAGAATGAATTTATTTCTCAGATCTTGGGTAATTTTGGAGCAGTTATCAACGGATTATTTCGTTCGATCAAACGTTTTCCTTCTGCTTTATAATCGAATGCACATGCATGCGCCTCAGGATATCGATGCTCACTGCAAAATGAACTTCCACATCTAGAATAGAATCAATTTGTTCAGGTTAAAAGCATACAATAGACAAATTATAGTTATTCTCTTTTTTTTTATACCTGCATTGATATGTTGTAGCTAATCCAGTTTTCTTTTTGCATAGAAAACACTTTGAGGTTGATTTACGATTGATAATAACTGGTGGTAATTTATTTGAATTGTAACTTGTTATGGTATTAGATTGAAGATTATTATTTATTGTGTTGGACCACGGATTACTTAATTTTGAGTCCAACTATTAAGGCAAGCAAAACAAAAAAGGAAAAGAATAAACAATATGTTTAGTATAACGAATTGTTTTTTTTAAACATTACTTTATAACGTTCTTCAATGATGGCATCACGAGATGATTGTTTATATCCTATTGAGACAAGACATTTAACGAATAAAAAAAGATGAAATGTGAATTCTACCAGTTTTTATCGAAGTCGTTTCTTTTGATGCAGTTGTTAGTAGTGAAACAAGATGTTTTCCAACACCACGTGAAGTATCAACTGGTTCAATAGTTGCATTTTGTCGTAGTAGTGCGGATACAGTTTTTGGGCCAATCGTTTCTAGAAATAAATAAAATATACTTTTTTGATGAATCAAACCGTTTTACTAACTACTGAATAGACCATTTTGTTGTTTTATAAATGTTATTTAAATAGAAATTATTTTATGAAATAAAATTTATGTAAAACAAACATGATTTATCAATTTTCATAGCTGCCATGTTCGTAGTTATTTTTTCTTCTCTTTTTTTTTGGAAGAACTTTTTTCACTTACCGATCGTTACTTTTGTACTATCTATTGGCATAAGAGAGGAAGATGATGGCGGTACAGTAGTTGTCGTAGGAACAGACTTAATTTCTTTTTGTGGAACATTTCGCTTTGACGTAGTAGGTGGTGGTGGTAGAGGCGGATAAATTGTATTCGATGATGAAGATGGAGATGGAGCAGTTGATTGTGGTGATTGCTGTTTTCCAGGTGTTTTTAATATTTCAATTCGTTTGTTCAACATTAAATGTTCGTTAAAAGAATCGGTGCCATTAGTATTATTAATTGTACTGATAGTATTTCCATTATTTATTAGATCATTAGAAGAATTATTTGATGAACTAATGAATGTTTGTTGTTGAGTTGATGTTGTTAAATTTATGTTCGATGTTTTATGTCGATTTTTTGACAATGATAATGGTACTAATGATCTTGGCGATGGTTTATTTAGTTGTTGTTCATTACTTATAGGTTGATGATGATGAAAAAATTTTTGTGTTGTTGATGGCAATGACGATTTTTTGTTAGCTAGAGGTAATGTTGGCATTGGTGTATGAGCTGTCGTACTTGTTGAACTATTTTGATGACGAAATAGTATTGATTGGCTTGTTGATGTACGTTCACCAGTTGTATATTCATCGGATACATTTATTTGTTCATCATCATCAGTCCACAATGGTTTACTTAGTGATGTTTCATTACGACTTTGTATATCAGCTGTTTGTTTTCGAGTTATAGTTGTTGGTGAAATAATTTCATCGTCATTTAATTCAAGCATAGGTGATGCACGAGAATGATGATAAAGAATTTCATTGGTTGAATGCACTTTATCATTGGAATTTATTGGTGGTTGTTCAGATGTATTAACATATTTTGTTGCTGATAATATACGTGATGACGTTGGAATCATCGGTAATGCTGGCGATCGACGATGAATATAATCAACTAAAACAGCATTACTACTTGCATCATTAGCTGAGGTTGTCGTGGTTGTTGTCGTTGCTGTTTCTTGACTAAGTAATTTTTTTGTTGTACTATGTTGGTGATTATTACGCTTTTTAGTATAGAAAATTGATGGTGAAAATGATCTTGACGTAAAGATTTGCTGCTGTATTGGTGGCTTTTGTTCGTCATCGTCATCATGACTATCATCATCGTCTTCGCTATCTTCCTCATGAAGAAGATCATTTCGATTGAGACCTGCTGTGGTTGATGATAATAAATTATATGTATTAAAAAAGTTTGCAGGAAATGAATAAGATAAAGGTCGATGCTGTTGCTGTTGCTGTTGCTGTTGCTGCTGTAGTTGTAGTTGTAATTGTAATTGTTGCTGTTCTAATGACGAAGTACCTGATGAATTATCACCGTTAACGCTTAGATTTGAATTTGTATCAACATGCATACTACGACGTGGATGGTGAGGATGAATTAAATTTGATTTGGATTTTTTCGATGAAGAAGGTGGTCGAGGTGGAAGAAGAATATCCTATGATAGAAAGACATCATGATTACTTTTGGCTTCGACAATATAAAAAGTGTACTGGAAGATTTCAGATAAAATGATAAGCGTGTTTTTTCGAACGATACAAGTATTAGCAAAAGTTTTTAAATATTTAAATAGTATCAGTATTTAATGCTTTTGCCAAAGGTTCTCAAGTCAGAAATAATGAATATATATATATATAGAAATGTTGAGATTAAGAATTTGATTGCAAAGTGTTGTTATTCAATGATGTTTCTTGTTAGTTCCCTAAAGACCTCTAACTCCATTCGTTGCATTTTCTTTTCTTTGATTATATTATGTTTCGAATATTTTCGATTCACAATTGAATAATAATCTTTTTTTTTACAATCACGTATGCTCTTGTTTATTGTATAAATTCCATTAGTGCTTTTGTGAAGTGAAAAACTCAAGACTTGTTCACTAGTAAATAAACTCGTGAGCAATTCTCTTTGAATTTCTATTTTCGATTTCAAAATTATTTTTCATGTACAGATACCATATAGTGCTCGCACAAACAATCTGAAAATACTTAGATTCTTATTAGACTGTAGCTAAGTTATTGAATTTTTGTATGTCTCTTTTTCCAGAGAGTTTAAATTTTCGCAAAAACTCGCATATTCGAATCTTGCTCTGAAATTTTAAGAATATAGAAATCAATTGGACTATATTCTATGTATAGCGTACTTTAGAATCTGAAGATATAGATCATTTTTGATGAGTTGTAATTATTTTCAAAGCCTCCAAGTTTCTTTAATGAAATTGAGTCGAGCTAAACTTTGTATATTCATAAAGGTCTAGGTAGAAATTTTGAACCAAGATTTGTCTAGAAATGTAGAATATTGCAGGAGTTTTTAAAAAAACAAATTCACAGCCTTTTAGCTTGATAGGTTAGTCAAAGAAATATAAAATTGGAATTCTCTAAGATATTTTATTAAAACATGCTGACTCATCTTTTGGCAAATAACGCCAATCAATATCAAAGGCGGATATCTGCAGAGGATTTCTTTGAATAAATGAGAGTTTTACACCTATCGGTTAGGACTAGTTGAATTCATCCTACAAATCTCTTAAAAAAGCAAAAACAGACATGTTATTGTAGTCTAAAGCTTACTTCTCAGTGTGAAGAGAGAGAGGTCGTATAGAAAATTGATGACTATGCTTTTTTATTGATGCATTCAAAATAAACTTTACTTCTATTCGAGACATTTTTCTGCGTAATGAAAATAGCCTGACCATTATTTTCAAATCTTTCAACTATTTTTTCATAAATTCTTAACAGCTCATATCATTTAAAGTTCCGAATATATATTTCATAAGAGTGCAAAATTGATTATACAATAAAGTACTTTAATACCTTCTATTAAATTTCTGTATCGTTTGAAGAGAAAAAAGTTTGTCTGAAATATTCGACACGCCCATTCTTAGAAAAAAGTTTTGAATAATAAACACTAAAAGAAAGGTCTTTAAAAAGATTATCGTAAAAAAATAAAAATGCAACTATCTCAAGTGATTGGCACAAGAAAACAAAATGTAAGGGATCAAGTTTACTTTTATTATTTATGTTATGCAAATCTTCATCGGTGTCTTTGAGGGATTAGCCTTTAATTTACATTCAATAACAAACAATTTCTGCATTAAAAAAAACACTCTTATTCTTTTGATTGTCGACGTTCTCGCAGAGTAATGTAGAATTTATATAATTTCAGGCCCTTTTTTCTTGTTAGTCTTCTCCGTACAGTTACTGGACATATTATACCTTTTTTGGCTTCACTGAAAGATATTCAATCATTTTTCAATGTATTTATGTGCACAGCATAAAACATGCTTGCTTAGTTTTGTAAATAAAATGGATTTCATTGGATTTCGTCTGCTTTTTTTCAAGGTCATTTTTAGACATTTTTCAATTGCTAATATTCTGCTTTCATAAAAATATTAAAAGATATCTCTCATATAGTCTATATCTAATAGTTTCATAATTATAGTTTCAATCTGGTTATTAATCATACTGCTTGTATTCTAGTGTGTGGAAATGCAAGCGTCTATTAGTATTCATAAAGAGAAATAAGTCAAAAAACTGTACTCTCATAGTATTAAAAAGTTGTATTGTAGACTTTCGGCTAAAAATTTTGAAAGAAATTTACTGTTGTTTTCTTCCATTCTATATATCACAAGGATTTATTTTTTATTTTTGAATATTTACATTTTATAGATTTCTTTCTAATGAATTTTGTTCAAGAAACACTAAAATTCTTTTAAATTTTCAGCGAGATGTGATCATAATTTTCAAACATATGAAACAAGGACCAAAAACTGCTAAAAAATCCGCAGAAAGTTCTCTACGGGTCTTTATTAATTATGTTTTACTTTTGGTTTTTTTTTCAAAGAGCATATTAGACTGTAGGGTCTGCCAAGGTTTTATATTATTATTTTTCTATGTAGTAAGAACGAAAAATTTTTCCAATTAAGCATCTAATAAAAAGTAGTCACTTAGAAAATAAGCTTTGTAATCTAGTATACTCTTTCAAACAAAAGAAAGATTGATGAAATTTCAAAAACAATTCTAATTTGTTGAAAAAGCAAGCTTTGACTTTGATCTTATTAATGTCTCGTGAAAACAATATACTAGAATCTTGTTCAAAAAATCACTCTATTTCCTGAAGTACAACCCCGAAGTATACTGAAAATTTCATGTGTTTTAAATATTGTCAATCTAGCGCTAATTTTGAGATTAAAAGATCAGATTCACATTCTTGCAGTCAATTTAACGTAGGAAATTCGAAAACATAATATTGCCATTAGAAACTATCGTTCTTAGTTTAATATCAGTGATTGTCTTTAATAAATGATAATCAATAGGTTACTTTTCTAGGATGTGTCTTCAATTTCGATCGAATTAATTCCATTTTTTGCTTTGTTTTACGATCGTCAGCTTGTCGTTTTTCATCATACTGACGGTCAGTTTCAACAGCTACCGTTTCGTGTGTATTATACATTGATGCAGCACTAAACAGAAAACAATCCATCATATATACGGTTGTTTATTATTTTGTTTCATTCTCATAAATTATACCTCACAGAGCCAGATAAAGGTGAGAGAGTACCATCACCTCTATCGATAACTTGAAAAAAATTAAATTGATCACCATCACGCAAAACAAGAAAAGTAACGTTTTTATTCGATGATGGTAATAAATCAGTACTATAATCGTCTTGACTACTTTCAATATATTCCGACATATCTCGTATAAAACTATCTTCAATCGGTACACGTTTTGTATTAACAGGTCCACCACGCATAGCTAAAACAAGTTTTATTGTCGTTCCGGCTTCAATACAATGATCATTTAAACATGATTCATCTTCAAGTTCATTCGATTTCCATATAAGATGTTGATGTGGTATAGGTATACCTTCTCGTCTTTCAATTTTACGTTTTATCGATTGAATTTGTTCATATGGAGAAACAAGTAATTCAAATGATGTACCAGCTAATGTTTCAATATTAATTGGTATTAACGTTCGTTGTGAGGGTAACGGTGGTGTCTGACTTGTTGGCAACATGTTTCATTAAAAGAAGATTCTTCCTTTCTTATAAATTGAAAATTATTTCATCAGATCATAAAGCGAAAAATAGTTAATGATATTAAAAAAACGTCTCCATCTAAAAATTTTCAAACTTTGTAGGGTCATAGATTTAAATGTCGTTATTGTGAGTGTTTACACTTTGGGGTTGCTTTTTAGTCGTGAGAAAAAGCAAAGAAAGAAAGAAGAAAAAAGAAAAAAAATTGTTATGTACAGAAGAAGCTGCCATTTTTTACTTGGCAAGAAACCCTATAGAACTGGTAGTTTATATGTAAAAGCAAAGAGAACAGAATTTTAAATCTATATTCAAACAAAAATACATTTTCAGAGTAATATAAAGAAGAAGAAAAAACAAGTTGCTAATCTTTGATAGAAACGTGTAGCTAATCAACGTTATTTATTTATAAATTAATCAAGTGACATCTATAATGTGCCTCCAGTTCGAATACAATAATACTCTTTTGATTGCTTCGCTTTTTTAAGTTGTGTTGTAAATAAACACAATACGACAAAAAAATTTATTTCGAAATAATATCGTAGATATCAGCTAACGTTCATCGAATGTAAATGTTTGTTAATTTGTTTTAATTTTTTAGATAACAACTAATTTTATTGTCGTCATCTCAATAAAATGGGTAAATTAATGTTTAACTTGACTGTTTATTTATCTATTACATGTATTTTTCTTTAAAAAACAGGTAAACCTCGTGGTCTTCGTACAGCTCGTAAACTTAAAGATCATCGACGTGAACAACGGTGGCATGATAAAGATTACAAAAAATCACATTTGGGTACTCGATGGAAAAGTAATCCATTCGCTGGTGCTTCACATGCCAAAGGCATCGTTCTCGAAAAAGTGTATGTTTTATATCTATTGTATTTGAAAACCAAAATTCATAATTAGAAATAATTTTCTTTTTATTTAGTGGTGTAGAAGCTAAACAGCCTAATTCGGCTATTCGTAAATGTGTTCGTGTTCAATTGATCAAGAATGGCAAGAAGATCACAGCATTCGTACCTCGTGATGGTTGTCTTAACTATATTGAAGTAAATTAAGCTTTTTTCTTTTTTCTTATTCGTATCTATGTTTCATTTCATTAGGAAAACGATGAAGTTTTAATTGCTGGTTTTGGTCGTAAAGGTCATGCCGTTGGTGATATTCCGGGTGTCCGCTTCAAAGTTGTTAAAGTTGCCAATGTTTCATTATGGGCATTATACCGTGAGAAGAAAGAACGACCACGTTCATAAACATCAATTAAATCTAGCAACAACGACAATTTAAAAGCGCTTTGTTTTGTTGTTACCATAAAATATAATAAAAAATACAAGAAGAAAGAACGATAAAAAATTTCGTTAAAATAACTTTTGTTCGAATATCCTTATCAAACCTAGGATAAACTTTGATCGATCTGCTATTTATTTCTACAAGAGTACAAAAATATACAACCACTTGCATACTTCCGAATGATGTGAGAAAATCAATAGGAATTGAATGTATACAACATTCGTTATAGAGGGTTATCAATAACAAGAATGACTATGTAGCATTGTCAGATTCATACGAGCTGTAAATTGATTTGAAAAAGTATGAACTGATTATTCAATACGACTATCAATTTTAAATTACAGTGGTGGACATCGATCTAAGAATAGAACAACTCAAGATCCCATGGTTCGACTTGTCCAATGGTTAATGTTTGTGCTTGAATATTTTTTGTAGCGAAAAAGAAAGAGAATAATCATTTTATACTTATAAATAACTTCAAGTTAAGTGCATTTTTTTGCGTCTTGTGAAATGCTTTGAAAGAAATTATTTTCTGGATTTCATCCATTGGTAAGACGAGCAGTTATGACATTTATCTAGAAGTATTCTTATATATTATTTTTTGATTTGCGTAGTAAGACACATTTTGATATCGAAGTTAATTAAAACGAAGAAAAACCGGCAAAGTTACTTTGCTCAATCAAACTTGAGTTTACTATTGCAAGATCTCACCTGAATACGGATGAATCAGCGTGAAAAAAAGTGGCACTTGTTGTGTCGGATCTGAAGTTGAATAGAGACAAGACATAGAAAAATAATGATATATTCATAGGGACATGTGACATTAATATCTATTACGTTCTTGGAAGAAAAAAACATACTCTAAAAAAATTAGAAAATTTTTCCAATAAAACGTGTACAAGTCCATTCAGTAATCAGAATATATTTCCGTATTCGATCAGAAATCATATGGGCGAATTACTATTTCCTTTTTATGACATCATTTCCGTGAATTATGTTAATGAAATGAAGATAACATATGGTTGTCTACTATGCTTGAAATATGTCAGAACTCTAAGTACAATTATCGGTATTGTCGGCAACTTTTGATGGGAAAAATTAGTTGTTGACCTCTAAGTCGTTTCGCAACTTACGTTTTGAACATTATTGAAATGACTACTAACTGATTTGTTTGTAGAGCATTCGAATTGAAAAATACTTGGATAACATTTTTCAAATCTTTATTTATTAATAAGAGGTCTCTATACTATGATGACATAGAATGAGTTCATTCACTGTGATAGTTAAAATATAAACGTAATTTGTTTCAACAATTTCTTATAAATTTATGTTTATTTTAAGTAAAATGAATCAGATATCTCATGAGCACATTCAAACTAAGAGTACCGCGTGTGAAACATCAGTTTAGTTTCAGAATAGCTAAATTTTCAACTGTAAAATGGGAAGTATAACTTCTATGTATGTTAAAAGTAACTGAGAACTCGAAGTGACAATATATGAATCTGTAATTAAATATAATTTTCCAAATCAAGATGTCCTTCAAGGTACTACAAGGTGTCGACTAATATTTTAAAGTTTAGGCTCAGAAACTTATACTCATACATGTACCAAAGTCAATTGATTAAAATCTCTTGTATTGAAAATACCTGAAGCTTTCTCACACTAATTCTTGTTTTTCAAATGTATTCCTGTTTGAGAACATTCCATTGCAGGAATATCAGATTTCAGATGTCTGAATTTATTCCATTAGTAATAATTATCAGAAGAAATTTTTGTTTGCGTTATTAAGTATGGCAACAAATATTCCTTATGATTGAAAGTGTTCTATAGAAAGTTTTCCTGTCAAAGTCAATATAATTTTTCTTTTCCCAACCATTCAATATACTTTCTATCACTTATTTATTGTGATGGTGACACGTGACAAAATGAAAAATTTCATCATGTTGTGTTAGATGTAGATTTGTTTTAACAATTACACACCATATGATAATATGTGACATTTAAATATTTATAAATTTTATGTTTTGAAACAAATTGATATGTCTCACGAGTGATTAGCCGCAGTTCCGTGCATTTAGCATACGAATCTATTGAAAATATATTGAACAATGAATAAGTACCTTGTAATAGAAAATAGTTTAAAATATAATAAAGGAAAAATAGTTAATTATGATTATTTTTTGAAATAAAAGTTCTACATTTCGGAAATATTCAGTTTTCTATTGCTCTATACTCGATCTATTATAGAAAGAAGTTAAATTATGTTGTTCTTCAACGTGCCAGTAAATTGAAACCTAACTATGAAGGACATCTCATGAATCACTGCGCTAATGATTTTGTTATTTTTGTAAAACATGTACTTTTAAATTAATATTAAAGTCATGTATTATTATTGTACATGAAAAGCTATTGTCATTTGAAGCATAAAATATTTTTGAATTTATGCAATGAATGTTCGAATAAGAGAATTTGGAAAGATGTGCTGCTGAAGGTAACAAATCATGACACGTTGAGACCGCACTTCTTATTGCTACGGTTTATAAACTAAAAATTACCTTTTCTAAATGAGAATCATATAGACAACACGTACTATACGCTTATTTATAATGCAAAAAAATCTGCTAGCACATGAAAAATTGCGCGAATGATAAACCGAGAGTTTGTTCTGCCGTAATGTCTAAGAGTTTCCGATTTTTTTTACAGAGATTCAATTTCATATTTGTTTTTCTTCGAATATCTATTGATGACCGATCAAAGTATATCAAAATTTTCTATTTTATTCAATTATTATGTCTCAACAATAACGATTCTACACTATCAATGAATAAACTAGATCATAACTATTGAAGAACTATGTATAATTTTGTGATTTGTATCCAGATGAGTTCTCTAGTATATTTGAAATTGAGGAGATTATTGTAATTGACACGCTATCTCTTATTGGAGTGCTTCCAATTAAAAAATAAATTACATTTATGTGTCCGATCGTACAGAGTAATGTTTTTTTTTGTTCATTGGTATTGCTTGAAATAATTTTCGCCTCTATTTCTTGTAATTTGAGTACAAAAACTTTAACTCGACGATTCTCTAAAAGTTTAACTCACAGCTTCTAAAATAGAAATCATAAAACATTTTTTAAGTTAGCTTAAGAGAGACTAGGCAACATTTTTTCTGATCACTGTTTGAATAAACTTAAATTTGACAGAATTGTTTCATTTTAAAAATGATTTTCCAATGAATCAAGATTTATTTTCTTGTTAAAGCAAGACAAATTCTCCGTTTACTGAAATTCAACTAACTATGAATATATTTGATAATCAAACATGACTTAAAATCAATGCTTTCTTTAAATTGGCATACTATCTTGGGATTACCAACTTTTTTTAATAAACTTGGTAAATAGAGATTTTTTTCAACCAACTGCAATTAGAGTGATGAATGCCTCATCAACATTTCAATAGAAGCTTTAGTTATTACAAAAAACATACATTTTATAGTAAATTTGAGTGGAACTCCTTTCGTACTCATCATTTCAGCTGTTGCTGGATCTCGAAGAATAACTAGGAAAGAATAATATGTCATCATGGACCTTAGAAACCAATTGAAGAGGTAATAGTAAGTTGTCAGTGTGTGATAATGAGTCTCTCGTAGAGAGAATAAACCCATGAATATTGTGAGCGACAAATATGATTAC